GCTGATTTTTTGATTTATTGTAGAGATGAGGTCTCGCTGCCCAGGTGGGTCTCGAACCTGCGGGCTAGGCAATCCACTCACCTCAGCCTCCCAAAGGCACGGGATTACAGGCTGAGTCACCGAGCCCAGCTGAGAATTATCTTTTTAGAAAGTGCTAGAAGCACAAATTTGCACACAATGCAAAGCATTGATGGGCACCTTCTCCAAGCTCCCCTTCACTGGGCCCAAAGCAGGAAGCCCCTCCACCACCCCTAGTCCTCAAACCCCTGCTGGAGACCTGGCAGGTGGGGTAGTGGGGACTCTGTACCTATTTCTTCTTGTAACTTTCCTCTGTTCTGGCAAGCAGGAAGCTGCCACTTTTTGTCTTATTCAGCATCTGCTAGTCTTAAATCACCCCTCAACCAAAGCTTCAGGTTTTGTATGTGCCTTAGCATTCATAGAGCTCTAATGATAAGTTGCATATGAAGTCATCTGTGTTGCACTTTTAAAAAAAAAAAAATCAGCCGGGCTCGGTGGCTCAGCCTTTAATCCCGCTCCTTTGGGAGGCTGAGGTGAATGGATTGCCTGAGCCCGCGGGTTCAAGACCCACCTGGGCAGTGAGACCTCATCTCTACAGTAAATCAAAAAACAACCGAGCATGGTAGCGCATGCCTGTAATTCCGGCTACTTGGAAGGCTGAGGCGGAAGGATCGCCCGAGTCTAGCAGGTCGAGGCTGCGGTGGCTTGGAGCGGCCGCTGCACTCCAGTCTGGGCGACCAAGTGAGACTCCAACTCAAGAAAAAATAAAAATAAATTAAAAAATCACTGTTGGATATTCACTTTATTTGTGTCTTCATTAATGATCACTATTTAGTTCAAAGGGGAATTTTAAAATTATAGTTAGGGTTGCTTTTTTCAAAGAAACAAAACTTGGCCAAGTGCTGTGGCTTATACCTGTAATCCCAACACTTTGGGAGGCCAAGATGGGAGGATCACTTGAGGCCAGGAGTTTGAGACGAGCCTGGGCAACATAACAAGACTTGGTCTATACAAAAAATTAGCCATGTGTGGTGGTGCACACCTGTAGTACCAGCTACTCATGAGGCTGAGGTGGAAGGATCGCCTGAGCCCTAGTCAAGGCTGTAGTAGCCGTGATCATGCCACCGCACCCCAGCCTAGGCAAGAGAGTGAGACCCCAACTCAAAAAGAAGCTAAAACTAAAAAGCAAAACTTGCTTAATATGCTCTTTCAGTCATAGTTGCTGACGAGTGTGGAGCCAGACATGGTGCCTGATTTTAGTTGTTGGCTCATTCTGGTTCCCTATGAATCGCTTTCCTTCCCATTTCCTTGAGGGAGAGTCTTACTGCCCTGGACAAGGCAGCAGGACATTTACAAAGCTGCCTCTGAGCCTTGAAGGCTTTGCCCTGGGAAAACAGCCCGTGGGACCCAGGCACTCCCTCGAGGGTTAGACCTCTGGTCACCACGGCTGCTTTGTGTGCCCAGCTGCCACAGAGGGCTTGCCTTTCCTGACGCTCCCAGTACTTGTCGATGTTAGCAGTCACCAGGTTGTCTTTAATCCCCAGATGACTTCGTTTTTCAGTACTTCCAGGTAACAGCAAGTAGCAACTCACTTGTTGTGTTCATGGTAGCATCTGCTTCTCCCATACGATCTGGGGTCTATGTGAATGGATGTTGGTTGTCTTACCTCAGAAACAGTATCCTAGGTCTGGGTTGACAAGACTGATCTCCGGGATTCGTACAGCAGTGTTTTGTGAAGAAATAATTATAATTATTCTTGGGTAGTCAGCAATATTGTTTTTTTGTGTTTTTTTTTTGAGTTGGAGTCTCACTCTGTCACCCAGGCTGGAATGCAGTGACCGCTCCCGGCCACTGCAGCCTCGTCCTGCTGGGCTCTGGCGATCCTTCCGCCTCAGCCTTCCGAGTAGCTGGAATTACAGGCATGCGCTACCACACCTGGCTCATTTTTTGATTTATTGTAGAGATGAGGTCTCGCTGCCCAGGCGGGTCTCGAACCCGCGGGCTCAGGCAATCCACTCACCTCAGCCTCCCAAAGGCGCGGGATTACAGGCTGAGCCACCGAGCCCGGCTAGCAATATTGTTTATGATATACCTAGGGAAGTTTTAAATGATGCTTATGTAAATATATATTTAAAATCTCACTTAACATGTATATTAATATATGTGCATATGTCTGTATATGTAGCTGTAGAAACTATCTCTGAGGGGGCATTTTCCACTTATAAAGGCTGGGACTTGGTATGGAAAAGGAATTTTTCTAACCCAGCAAGCCTCTAGCCATTTGCATATCGGTGTCTGTTTTTTTTTTTTTAACTATTTGTTTTTGTTTTGGTTTTTGGTTTTTTTTTGAGTTGGAGTCTCACTCTGTCGCCCACACTGGAGTGCAGTGGCCGCTCCCGGCCACCGCAGCCTCGACGTGCTGGGCTCCGGCGATCCTTCCGCTTCAGCCTTCCAAGTAGCCGGAATTACAGGCATGCACTACCACACCCGGCTGATTTTTTTTATTTATTGTAAAGATGAGGTCTCGCTGCCCAGGCGGGTCTCGAACCCGCGGGCTCAGGCAATCCACTCACCTCAGCCTCCCAAAGGCGCGGGATTACAGGCTGAGCCACTGAGCCCGGCTCGGTGTCTGTTTATAAGAAGCATCCCCTGCTCCTTCTGGGGGCTCTGACCCAGAACATCCAAGTCTTGTTATGTTGCCCAGGCTAGTCTCAAACTCCTGGCCTCAACATCCCAGCCATGGTCTCCCCTGTCTTTCTTGTGCACTAGCTCCCAGTGGAGGACAAAATCAGGATCATTGCGCAGAAGATCTATGGGGCTGACGACATTGAACTGCTCCCCGAAGCGCAGCACAAAGTGGACATCTACACGAGGCAGGTGGGTGTTTGCTTGCTTCGTTGGTCCAGCTCTGGGCACAGCAGACCTTGGAGTCAGGCTCCCAGGGACTCCCAGCCCCATGAGCACCCACTGCTCCACTGTTCTGGGTGGCAGCCTTCCCTCCTGCAATACTGGCATTGGGTTGGGTGGTGCCATTCTGGTTCTTTATTTACCCACCAGTGTAGATGAACGTGTAGAAAGCCAAGAGGAAATACCAAATGTCTCACCAAAATACTGAGGCCCTCCAGTGTCGTTCTTGTGCTATTCCATAGATGAGATGAAATATCCCCTTGTGTAGTGTGGTATAAGTACTCACCTCCCTTCTTCCAATGGAGACTTCTTTTTTGGTGTGTAACAGCTAAGCTGGAGGACAGTGAAGAAGACATGAATGCAGAGAGTTGGGGGGTCTTAAGTTGAAGAATCTCTGTCATCACAGTATCCAGATGGTTTGTTCTTTGGTTTTTATTTTGAGCTAGGGTCTCGCTGTGTTGCCCAGCCTGGAGTACAGTGACCATGATCATGATGGTCATAGTTCACGGCAGCCTTGACCTTCTGGGCTCAGAAGATCCTTCCACCTCAGTATCCCAAGTAGCTGTAACTATGGACATGTGCCACCGTGCCCAGCTAATTTTGTTGTTGGGATTACAGGCGTGAGCCACCGTGCCCAGCTCCAGATGTTCTGTGATGCATCCACAGCTTTCCATTGTCCTGTCCCTTCTCTCCCCAGGGTTTCGGGAATCTACCCATCTGCATGGCCAAAACACACTTGTCCTTGTCTCACAACCCAGAACTAAAAGGCGTGCCCACGGACTTCATCCTGCCCATTCGTGACATCCGCGCCAGCGTCGGGGCAGGTTTCCTGTACCCTTTAGTGGGAGCGGTGAGTGCTGCCGGGAGACTCGTGCTTCTTGTCTGAAATGTGTGACAGGAACCGTGGAGCGGGTGCCAAGTGAGTGGTGTGCACCACCTGGAAGAGAGCTGGAGCGGGCCTGTGTGGACCGTCTTGGTGTCAGCTCAAGAATGATGCCATGACCATTCCTACTATATAAGAAAACCTGACCGGGCACAGTGGCTCACACCTATAATCCCAGCACTTTGGGAGACCAAGGTGAGAGGATTGCCTGAGACTAGCCTGGGCAACTTGGCGAGGCCTCATCTCTACAATAAATCAAAAAATTAGCCAAGTGTGGTGGTGTGTGCCTGTAGTTCCAGCTACTTGGAAGGCTGAGGTGGAAGGATCCTCTGAGCCCAGCAGGTTGAACCTGCGGTGGCCGGGAGCATGCCACTGTACTCCAGTCTGGACTACAGAGTGAGACTCTGGCTCAAAAAAAAAAGAAAAGAAAAGAAAACCTGCTTTCCAGGGCAGTCTGCCCTTCATGGAATCCAGGACAGGCCTCAAGGGTAGGCTGGCATGTTGCCTGGCATCATGGCTAATACATATTCACCATGAATGTTCATTGGGTGCCTTAAACAGTAAACTCAGTCCCTCTGGAGTTGGGGACGGGTTCTCCACCTCCAGGGTCTTGCTAACAGCCTAGAGCTTATACCTGAAACTCAGGGAGTTCATTCTTTTTGAGTAAGGAATTTCCCCACTAAAATGCAAATGGACCCTGTAGACATGAAAGGTCAGGCTGCTTATTTACACTTCAAGGTGAATGAAGTGTCTGGTGCTTTCTTACCTTCGTTGCTGACAGGGCTTAATCATAGTTTGGGCTAACACTATCCCGAAGTTAACACTGAGCCTGTATCTGGGTTCCCTCTGATCTATCCCATGTTCTGTGTGTACAGATTGCACATATGCAGTATAGGACCGAAATAGTAAACTGAACCAGGAAAGAAAATGCTAGATCTCCTTTTGGAGCCATGGCATTCTTTCAGGGTGGTAAGGAAGTGGTGGCAGGTGGCATTCTACTATTGAAAGCTCGTGACATTAGAGTTGGATCTGTGGTCAGCTCTACAGGTCTTGGACTTGGGCAGGTTTTGAAGGTTGTGAGCCCCGCTGCCCTGGGCTTACCACAGTGGTGGTCAGCATAGATGCCTGCACGCAGTGCCCCTCGGCCACTCTCAAGAGCTGGGGGCTTGGCCTTGTAATGTTGTACATCAGTCTCTGGGATTTGGAGAAAGTCCTTTTAGCAGGAATATTAAAAACCATTTACCCAGCATCTTGGCCACTAGAAATATGTGGTGTTTTTTCTGGAGAAATCAGCAGCAGCCACCAGTTGAAAGGGCTAAGCTGCACGCTCCGTGTCAATTGGATGTTCACATGCAGAGGAGGAGCTGTAGAGCTGAATGCCAAGCTGGAGGAAGTAGTCAGGCCGGTGAATGCCAGGCCGCAGGGTAGAGACATAGGCCACTGGCTCAGGACTTGCTCATTTAGAACAGAGTATGCGTCAGACGCCTGGACTTTATGTTGGACCAAGACATCTCCACGTGTAATCAAGTGACTTATTCACTGTTCTGACACCTCCTAGTTGATGTTGGACCTTAATGGGGCATAGGGGATTTGAGTATTTTACATATTAATTCAAGTATGGTGGCTTCTCTTCAGAGATTTATGCATATCTACGTTCATATGTCTGTGTACACATCATATTTTCTCTTTTTTTATATCTTCTGATTGTCAATGACTGGTGTTTGGGGGGGAAAAATCCTCTCTGGAAAAAAAGTGAAAATATCAAAGACCCTACAAATGACTGTCTTGGGAAGCATCTTTAGAGTGTTCTGCCGACATACATGTGCATGTCTACATTAGTGACACACGTCCTTTATAGCGTCACCTTCAGGGATTTCTGCTAAGTCTGGTTTTGTTTTTTGAGTTGGAATCTCACTCTGTCACCCAGGCTGGAGTGCAGTGGCATGCTCACAGCCACCGCAGCCTCAACCTGCTGGGGTTAGGTGATCCTTCCGCCTCAGCCTTCCAAGTAGTTGGAACCACAGGCATGCACTACCATGCCCAGCTAATTTTATTGTAGAAATGAGATCTCACCATGTTGCTCAGGCTGGTCTCGAATCCCTGAGCTCAGGCAATCCTCTCACCTCCACCTCCCAAAGTGCTGGGGATTACAGGCATGCCCAGCTTCTGCTAGGTCTGAAGACCAGTTACTATCCTTTTTCTTGTCCCCATTCCCACACTTCTTTATCTCTTACAGAATACAAGACTAGAAACCAATTGTCAGATCCCTGTAATATGTTTTGCAGAATATTGATTGGCACTCCGATGTCAGTTGGAATTCGTTTTCTAAAGTATTGATGTTTTGTGTTACAGAAAATGACTCATTCTTTTTTTTTATATATAACCTTTTTATAGTTAAGTTTTAGAAGTTTAGCCTCAGCTGTTTTCCTGTCTGGATTTGATTTGGAACTTGTCTGTATTCATTATATAGGACATTGTCACAGACAAAAATATACTGAGTTTTTTCTTGCAAGCCATGCAGATTTGTATCTAAGCAGATATGTGTCAAAGCCAAGTCTTTAGAAAAGAAGCAAGTGCAAATATAATTCATAAGCATTGCAAGTTTAGTTTTTGAAAGCCACTTTGGACCAGTAAGAATAGTAATGATAAAACCATCTAGATTATGTACAAAAATATCTTGCAAAAAGGGTACGAGTTCCTAATGTGTTGCTGAAGAAGTCACACAGGCATCTAGCAAGACTTACTGAAGTCAGACTTCAAGGTGACAAGCCCTGTGCCTCCCTTTGGTCTCGTGAAGTGTGAGCTGAGGAGGTTGGCGGCCCACCCCTCGGCCTCCCAGCCTCTGCCTTTGCAGGTTGAAGGTGGCAGCATCTCCACCACTGCTCGTCACAACCATCAGAGGAGACGCCCAGAAGGGAGGCCGGCGTCTGGTTTGCAGAAGGACGTGAGGGACCCATGACTGGATTTTTTTTTTTAATCAATATTTTTTATTATGATTTTGTGGGGCACAGTTAAAGGTTAGGTGTACAATTACATTTCATTCAGGCACCCTGTTGATAAGAGGTGTTTCCCCATCCCCGGACAGATACTTGCGACTGTTAATCCCATCCCCCTCCCTCCCCAGTGACTGGATTTTTAATATGGAACAAGAAGGGTTAGGGTTAGGTTTAGGCTTTACTGACAACTATAAAATGATGTTCTCTCTTTGTTTTTGTTTGTTGGTTTGTTTGTTTTTGAGTTGGAGTCTCACTCTGTTGCCTAGGCTGGAGTGCAGTAGCATGCTCATGGCCACCACAGCTTCGACCTGCTGGGCTCAGGTGACCCTTCCGCCTCAGCCTTCCAAGTAACTGGAACCACAGGCGTGTGACACCACACACGCCCAGCTAATTGTTTGATTCACTGTAGAGATGGGGTCTTTCCAAGTTGCCCAGGCTGATCTTGAGCCCCTGGGTCTAGGGAATTCTCTCACCTCTGCCTCCCACAGTGCTGGGATTATAGGCATGAACACCCAGCGTTGTTCTCTCTTTGTACCCTGGACTTTTTGAGGGGAAGGTGGAAGAAAAGGACACTTGAGTTTATTGTTAATGCTGTTTTACATCCTAGATGAGCACAATGCCTGGACTCCCCACCAGGCCCTGTTTTTATGATATTGATTTGGACCCTGAAACTGAACAGGTGAATGGACTATTCTAAATAGGTAAGTTGTTACCCCATACGAGTTGTACTTTCTCCTTACTGAGTATACAAAGGGGGACCAAAAAAAAGATCGGAATTCTCTTTTGGAGGCCTTCCCCGTACCCAGGTAAGTGCTAGGAACCCATCAGCATCAGTGAACCAGCTAGTGTTGTTGTGGGAGGCTGCACTCGTCTCAGTGAATTTCTGGGGGGGATTCTTTCAGCACGTTTTCCCATTTCATGATGAGTGACTCACAAGCATACCTGCCCACACCACACTGAGTGTTCAGCAGTTTTGGACCAAAAATGGTGACCCCTGTACCCCACTCTTCCTAGTCATCCGCTCTCACCCCGAGTGACCTTTTTTTGTTTTCCTGGATGAAAAAAGTCCTCCAAGGGAAACATTTTGCCAATGTGAAACAAAAAATGTCAGAAGTACTAAAAAGCATTAAAACCAACAAGTTCAAAAACCGTTTTAAGCAATGGAAAAAGATTCTTGATAGGTTTATTGCATCAGAGAGTACTTTGAAGGTGGCTAATATTTAAAAATGTAAGAATAAATACACAATTTTTTATAAATAAATGCTGGAGTTTTTTGGGGTCTCCGTTGTATTTATGTATTATAGGGCTCAAACTAAGCTATGAAAATGTAAATTCTAATGCTTTCCAAATGTTTCTTTTGACTTTACTGAGGGTAGACGGGGCAGGAAAGAGATTTGGCAATAGCCAATGAATGAAATATTTATTTTTCAACACATTTTTGGAAGAAGCATATGGCTTGTCACAGGTTGGCAGTGTAGGGGAGACAGCTGCTGTTGGTGAGCTGTGGAGGTACCATGGAGTTCAGAGTTGATGACACACTAGAGGTCAGGAACCATTGATGGTGTGTATACTTTGAACACACAGAAAGCGAGAGCTGAGTAAATGTCCCAGAAAGCAGAAAAGAGAAGGAAACAGACCCAGCCCCCGGCAGCAGACCTGTCTTCTTACTGCGATGAGACGCTCTAGACACCAGAGCGATGTCCTCTGAGTTTGCAAGGAAGATGACTTTCACTGGGTTTACAGTCAGCCACATCTATCTGGATGTTTTCAGACATGCAAAGGTCTGCCACCCTCACGGCTCTTCCCAGGAAGTTATTTAGTAATGTACTCCAGCAAAATGGGGAATTAAACCAAGAAAAGGGAAGCGTGGGTTTGGGGAAATCGAACTTTGCTTCAGGCAGTAACAAAGAAGAGTTCTGATAGCCATGCAAGTGACCTGGAGTTACAGACCCAGTGTGGAACAAGGGTGGGGGTGGGGGATGCTTGAGGAAAAACTAGAAAACCTAGAAAAGACAAGGTTACCAAAGGGTAATGATACAAAAACTCTTGGACTGTTTGAGAAAGTGATGGTCCAGATGGAAGCAAACTAGTAATCATTTAACACCAGTGAGGATGGGAAGAAGAGGGACTGAACTCGATGCTGGGAGAACGCTGTTCTCAAGAGGGTGTCTGTGTGTTGGAAATGCGTCTGTCCCCTGCTTGGTCTGGTCTTGAACAGTATTCACATAACCATCATGTCAATGCACCGCACTGTTTTCGAGCCCGTTTGTGGACCCTAGAAGGGGTGGAGGTGGGAAAGGTGGTACACAGCGACAGCCTTGGCAACGGGAGGGTTCGCAGTGCAGGTGGAAGGGAAAGAAGGCAGTTCAGAGCTTGGAGAAAACACTTATTTCTTGTTTGTTCCCCCCCCCAGATCAGTCATCTTCAAGAAGCTACGTTGGAAGTGTAGCTGTGTCCGTTCAGGCCCGTTAGGAAGTGTGGGGAAGTGGGAGAGTCGGCCCCACCCTGAAGAGCTTTTGGAATAAATGGTGGGAGTTTCCCCAGAAGCCTTTCCAGCCTTAATTCTCATCCTGTATAAATTGACACAAATCATGCACACGTCTGTTTACTTTAGTGAAGATCCACAGAATAAAAAGAAATAATTTTGCTACCCTGGTGTTGAACTCTAAATTCTGGCGTCAACAGGCTGTGCTGCAGTGCTCAGCCCTGTTTGTTGGGCATACCCGGACTGCAAAACAAAGTCGCCTGTGCACTCGATGATACTGTCGTTGACAGGGGAAAGCATGTGCATGCTGTGTGTTTCTGAGAGGACACAGAATTCAGGAGACCTGCTGAGAGGGTCAGGTGGAAGCAAGGGGTGGAGACTTGCCTTACACCTTTCTGGATTGCTGCTTTTTTTTAAATCTTAAGTCCTGAGGAAGTCTTTTCACCCTAAGGAAACTTATCCTTAGAACTTGGAATTCCCATTTCTGCCGAAGCTGCAATAGTTTAAAGTCCTTAAGAAGGATGGTCAAATGGCACTAACCTTAGGTCAGCCTTTTCTGCTGTGTTGGTTAAGCCAATATTTATTACCTTCTGCTGAATGACTGGGCTCTACTTCTCTCTACAGAATGCATTTTTTCCCCCAAAGTCAGAGTCTTACTCTGTCACCCAGGCTGCAGTGCAGTGGCATGATCTTGCTCACTGCAGCCTCAACCTCCTGGGCTCAGACAATCCTTCCACCTCAACCTTCCAAGTAGCTAGGACTATAGGTATGCACCACCATGCCTGGCTAATTTTATTTTTTGTAAAGATGGGATCTCACTATGTTACCCAGGTTGGCCACCAAATCCTGGGCACAAGTAACCCTCCTGCCTCAACCTCCCAAAGTATTGGAGGCGGAGGCAAGGATTGCCAGAGTCCAGGGGTTTGAGACCAACCTGGGCAACTTGGCAAGACCTCGTCTCTACAGTAAATCAAAAAATTAGCAAGGTGTGGTGGCACAAGCGTGTAGTTCCAGCTACTTGGAAGACTGAGGCAGAAGGATCATCTGAGTCCAGCAGCTCGACACTGGGGTGGCCGTGAGCGTGCCACTGTACTCCAGCCTGGACAACAGAGTGAGACTCTGACTCAACAACAACAAATTTTTTTTTTTAATTAGCTGGGTGTGGTGGTGCTTGCCTATAGTCCCAGCTACTTGGAAGGCTGAGGCGGAAGGACTGTGTGAGCCCAGCAGGTCAAGGTTGTGGTGGCTGTGAGTGTGCCACTGCACTTTAGTCTGGGCAACAGAGTGAGACTTGACCAAAAAAAAAAAAGGTATTTAAGACACCCCCTGTACACTGCCTGGCACATCAAAAATACCCAGTAATGTCAGTTCCTGTTTCAAAGCATCATCTGGTCCTATCTGCACACATTCCCTTGTTTCTGATTTTTTAAAAATGTGAAGTCTCATCTGGAATGAGACTGGCTGGGATTTCAGTTTGCAGACAAGGGAAGTGGGAAATAACATTAAAATCCTAAACCCTCCCAACCAACCTTCTGGCCAAGGAGACTCTAGAGTTCTTGGCCACTGTGGGATGCAGGGGGTCAGATACCCTTCATGATGGTCCTCCCTCTTTAATCATGGTTAGTCTTTCTTCTCCGAGGGCTAAACAGAAATCGATCCTTTCAAAAGACTCCACCACTGACACCAACCGCCAGTGTTTTCCCTCCTGTTTTGTCTGTTTAGAGATCAACCAAGGAGTGGTTCTGGCCAGTTTATGGAGAATGCACAGTGAAGGTTCCCCGCCCCCCCATCCTCTGCTTCACCTTTTGAGGTCAAAGGGCTGAATCACCTGATCATGCTAAATGTGTGTGTGTGTGTGTGTGTGTGTGTGTGTGTGTGTGTGTGTGTGCGCGCGCGCGCGCGTGCGCGCCACCTTTTTCTGTACACCAGGCCCGTGAAGGGCATGAAGCTCAATTACGCATGCGCTTGTTTCTCCTTTCATAAATATTCATGCCTCCCATAGGTTAATGAATATGCATATTCGACTACCTAGCTTAGCATAAATTCTCATTTCCTCTGTCCCTCCTTCCAAGTGCCTGTTTCTGGCCAGGTCCAGTGGCTCACACCTGTAATCCCAGCACTTTGGGAGGCAAAGGCAGGAGGATCGCTTGATCCTAGGAGTTCGAGACCAGCCTGGGAAAAGCAAGACGCTGTCTCCAAAAAAAGAATGGTGTCTGTTTCCAGCTTCTGGCCTATCAGAATGGCCACTTTGCAGGCTACAGCCCTTAATGAGAAATAAAAGCCAGGCTTGGTGGCTCAGCCTGTAATCCCAGCGCTTTGGGAGGCTGAGGTGAGTGGATTGTCTGAGTCCACGGGTTCGAGACCCGCCTGGGCAACTTGGCAAGACCTCATCTCTACAATAAATCAAAAATTAGCCGAGCGTGGTAGTGCGCGCCTGTAGTTCCAGCTACTTGGAAGGCTGAGGCCAGAGTCCAGCAGGTCAAGGCTGCAATGGCTGGGAGCGGTCACTGCACTCCAGTCTGGGTGACAGAGTGAGACTCCAACTCAAAAACAACAACAAAAAAAGAAAGCACTCCTTTCGAAATGTATGAGCCTGGTTATTTTTCAGTTGACAGAAGGAAGACTTATCAGACACGGTGACTTAAAGATCATCTTAAAGGATTTAGGCTTCCTTGTATTGTCAAAAGCCATATGGTCTTAAACGCTTGGTACTGGTAGGAATTGCCAACACAATCGGGGAGAGCGTAAATGGAGATTTATAAGCCAAAGTTATAAACAAAGCTCTAATACAATAAGTAACCCAAATTGTTTTTTATCAGTTGTTGCTTGGAGCGTATGGACAATCATAGATGCAAGAATTTTCCTAGGTGAAATAAAAGTTCTCAAGACTTGCTTTTTCTACCTACCACGTATCTTTTTCTTTTTTTTTGAGTCTCACTCTGTTGCCCAGGCTGGAGTGCAGTGACATACTTGACCTGCTGGGCTTAGGCAGTCCTTCTGCCTCAGTCTTCCAAGTAGCTGGAACTATAGGCGTGTGCTACCACACTGTGCTAATTTTTTGATTTATTGTAGAGACGAGGTCTCACCAAGTTTCCCAGACTAGTCTCGAACCCCTGGGCTCAGGCAGTCCTTTCACCTCGGTCTCCCAAAGTGCTGGGATTACAGGCATGAGCCACTGCGCCCAGCTCCTGTATCTTGAAGGTCTTACTACATCTGGAGTTTCTTTCTTTTTTTTTTTGAACTGGAGTCTCACTCTGTCACCCAGACTGGAGTGCAGTGGCCACTCCCAGCCACCGCAGCCTCGATCTGATGGGCTCCAGTGATCCTTCCGCCTCAGCCTTCCGAGTAGCCAGAATTACAGGCGCGCACTACCACGCCTGGCTAATTTTTGATTTATTGCAGAGATGAGGTCTCACCAAGTTGCCCAGGCGGGTCTCGAACCCGCGGGCTCAGGCAATCCACTCACCTCAGCCTCCCAAGGTGTGGGATTACAGGCTGAGCCACCAAGCCCGGCTTGCAGTTTGTTTCTTTTTTTTTTTTGAGTTGGAGTCTCACTCTGTCACCCAGACTGGAGTGCAGAGGCCGCTCCCGGCCACCACAGCCTCGACCTGCTGGGCTCCGGTGATCCTTCCGTCTCAGCCTTCCAAGTAGCCGGAATTACAGGCATGTGCTACCACGCCCGGCTGACACTGACAACTGTTTTATGGTTTTTGCTATTACAAATAATGTAGCAGTGATTAGCAATTAGCAGAGAATGCACACAATTTCCTTATTTATCTTTGCAGTTTGTGTTGAAGTGTCTACTGGGTAAATTCCTAGCAATGGGATTGCTCACAGGTCTTCAAAATGGAAGCTGACCTCTGGTTGGAAATGAAAAGAAATACATATAACAGAACAAATCCTTTAGGCTGATAGTCTCATTTTACAGAAAGGCAGGTTTGCAGATTGCACTGCTGACTCCCACCAGATGAACTCACAAGGTTGTCTGACTCCCAAGTCTCTGCTCTTACCACGGGCCTGCCTCTCAGAGCGCTACTAGAAGGTGGCTCCTGCTGGGTTATGAGAGATGGGAAGCTGTACCCATTCACCCCCTCCAGAAGGAGGGAAGAGAAAGATGGAAGAAGCAGAAGGAAGAAATAAAGAGACTTGGGAGGATGCTGAGCAATCCTGATGACGCGGGATTTGTGGAATTGATGCTTCAGGCTTCGATAAAGAAGTGTCCCGAGTACAACCTTCTAGATGCTATTTCCACAATGAGAGAAGGCAGGAGGAACAAGACACCAGCAGGCTAACTGAAGGCCTGTATTAAAGACCTCCAGAAGCATCCATGCTTGCAGTGCCTATCAGATGCGCTTCCAGAGAGGGTCTGGTGCCCTCACCGGGGGGTCCCTCCAGATCACTGGCCTTCCCGGGCCCATCCTTACCCTTCCCTGAGCTGCTAATGCCTCCCCTCTCCATATTAGTAATATTACGATGAAGAGGGTGCCTTCTCTGATCTTGCCTCAGAGGCTGTTTTTATGCATCAAAGATGTGCATACACTCTTCATTCAAAAGAGACAGCAGCATTTATGTGCTGCCAAGTAAAACAAATTGCAACAGAATTACAGTTGAGGTTGTGTCTGCCTTGTCCAACCCACATGGTGCCCAGGAGCTGATCTAGCCACAAGCAACCTGGAGACCCAGGTTCATTTAACAGTGTGCCAGGGAAAGGGGTTGGAGGGCTTATTCCCAGAAGGCCTCTGAAATTTAAGGATTATTAACATGAAATTACAAACCACTTCTGGTAGCTACAGGCCCAGGCTGTGGGTGGGACCAAGACAGGAGAAATGGTAGGATCAGAGAAGTATCGCTCAGATAAATATGTAAGCTATTTTATTGGCACGCTGTATCAGTTGATATTAACAAGCTAAATTGAAGATGAATAATTTCTCGTCAGATTAGAGAGATATATTTATAGCCTGTTTCCTATTGTATAATGAAAAGCTACTGATGGAGTAGTAGACAATTATATGGCTAATAGCTAAGACAGCCTTAGCTGTCACTTAAGTGAGTTCAGGAATGACAGGTTTCTTTCAATGCATAAGGCACTGGATTCATTTTTTAAAAAAAAACAGATATGGCACTGAGTTCTAGTCACAGCCTAAAGAAAAACCACAGTGCAGTAT